GACTTTATTGTTAGTTGGCCTGACTACCATAATTTAACTACACGGATTACGAGTAGATAATTTATGTATTTTTAAAATAATTGTAATAATTTATATTTTTATATTTTATTTTGACAGACTTTTTACCATCCCTTGGCAGCTTCCTGCCACTGAATAACATTTTCCTTTGACAGAACACACTTATAAATCACACAAAGTGTTTAAAAGTAAATTGTAAATATGAACTGGTTTCAGTGGTGATTTTAGCTTCTTTAAATTTAAACTCAGCATCCCTGAAAAATAAAGAATTAGGATTGCGTAAGGAAACTGTTCTCAAACCTTAGATTCACCAAAATATTGAATAAATATGGAATAAATGACGACAGTCTCAAACAGGCCAAAAAAATCTATGATTTTTTTTTTTTTTTGCACGAGTCCTGCCACCTGTCAATCAATCCAGTAAGCGCATCAGCAACTGACCAATCAGCAACCTGGATTTGTCCTGAAGTGAACACCTCTTACCTGCAGAGCTGCAGTGGTGTTGCATTACGAACGCTTTGCAGATTTCAATAATAACAGAGTTTACATCTTTTGTTTCAATGTTAATCTATTGTAATAAACTTTTGTAAAATAAACCAGAATGCAGGAAATGGCATCTACTTTAAACAAAATTCTCTGGGGGAGGAACCCCAGACCCCCCACCCCTAACAACACAGTCTGTTCTGTAATGTTCTTTATACAGAATGGAAGGTTGAATACTTGTATAATAAATAAATGGACTTTACTTACAGAAGTATTTGTATTTCATGTATTATTGCATTTGGCCCTCAGACCTCTGATAGATTTTAAATTTGGCCCTCTCAGGGAAAAAGTTTGGGCACCCCTGCATTAAAGGTTAATGTTTAAAGCTGTGTTTTGTTTTGTGTGTTTCGTATGTAGATATAGTTATGTTGCAACTTATGGTTGCATATGTTCAGTCTCTGTTTGTTATGATCAGTTAACACTAAACTGATTTTGTAAAAAGCGTTTATTAGGTTGTGTAATGTAAAGCAGAGCACTACGTCTGTAGCATTTTAGCTAGAGTGCCTGTATTGAACACCGCTAGCTTAGCACTACTTCTTCTTGTGCTGAGCTCTCTAAAATAGTTATTGGATCATGTATTTACTAATGTAGGTAAACATAGTTGTTTAACAACCCATTAAAATACACCAGAATGCAAGAAATGACATCTACTTTGTTCAAAATTTCCTGGGGGAGAACCCCCAGACACCTCCACCAATGTGTACCCTCAACATTATGAATGCTTCTGACGCCAATGGCCATCGTAATGTTCTAACCAAGAGCCATTGTCAACACGGGGGGG